TCCCTATAGATGTTGGAGAGTTAAAAAGCAACATGCTTTAGCCTTGGCATTGATGGGTCCCCCTGCACACCTTGGGAGGCATGACATATGCCAGTAGCACTGAATCTGCCACAAATGTACAGAGATTCACCTTGGGGCACAGCACAGCACCCAGGTCTTCTGTAAGCACAAGTCTGCTGTTGCACAGGGGTAAAGTTGCCCAGATCAGTGGAACTGGCCTCCTCACCCCATCGCTGGACTGGCCACCAGCCAGCCAAAGGGAGCTCAGCTCTCCTGGCTGGAAGAAAGGTTTATTTCATTCCTCACTCAGTGTGAACACTTCCCCCAGCAAGGGCATTTTCTATTCCAGAGCTGAGGCTGCTGTAAGAACTGGCAGACAGCTACAGCTGCAAGCACACACAGAGAAAATTTGCACAGGATTTTTACAGCTCAGACACAAGGCTTAATGGACCAAGTTGGGCTTCTTAGGAATTTGCATCCCTTTCTCCTTCCCCGCTTCAGAGCCAGGAGGTCAAAGTCAAACAGTCCCCGGTTTCTAAACAGCTGTCATGAATCAAAAGCACACACAGTACAGACAGGCAGTGGAGACCCACGTCTGGACCCCTGCACGTTCATGTGGGATGGTCACTCACTGTGCCTCAGTTCCCAATCTGCAATGGGCCCCGAGGCGACTGCCTTTGGCTATTCAGACTGTCAGATCTTCAAGCAGGCACTGTCTCTCATTCCTCAAATGTACAGTGCTTTGTACTGTGGTGTCCAGAGCTCAGATGGGCCCTCTGCATTATGCCAATAAGAATAAAATGATATTCAGCCTGTACAAAAAACAGCAAAAGAAAGAAAGAGGAATCAAGAGTGACCTTTTAGAGGTGTCTCATCTCTTTCATCTGATAAACTGGCAACATATCAAAACACATTTTTCCCCATAAAAAATGGATCCAAGTGTGTTTTGTAAATTATAGATTAGCCAGCAGTGATTCTTCACTAAAGAGACCCCACATCGAATTACAATCTGAGCAAGGCTTCAACAGACCACGCTGGGCAAGAGGTCACACCGGTCATAACTGCACATTCTCGGTCCTTATTGTTATTATTTCTACCTCAGAATAACAATAATGCCACCTACAGAAGAAGATGCATATTGTACAAGTCTGGTGTGCACAGAGCAAGGGGGGGGGGGGGTAGGGACAGGGTTAGCACCACTGGTTTGCTTCCTGCAGATCATCTCTGGGAACCCCTGGCTGCTAAGTGACACCCTCCTTAGAGGACCAACTGTGCAATGATGGGTCTTTCCATTCCTCAATAAAAAAAAAAAATATATTTTTTTATTTATATATGCGCTAAAAAAAGTTTTATATCTATTTGCATTGACAAGGTTTGCTTCTCCCAGTGACAATCCAAAGTCACCTTCCCCTCCCCCACGGAAGAATTTAATTTTTGACAAAAAACTCCCATTTTCTGAGCAGAAAAAAAATAAATAAATAAAAAAATAGGCATCTCCCCAGAGATCTTACAGCCTGCCCCAGTACTAGTTTGTCAAGGGTTATGCAGGAAATCCTTGCTCCTCTCTGATGAAGAACTCACCACTGAAAGGGGATCTTCCTAGCTTTCCGCTTCCGCGGTGCAGGTCTGTTATCATCGGGAGTCAAAGTCTCATACTGTCTGAACATCTCAAGACCACAGAGCTCTCCTAAATCCAGGTTCATTTGTAAGGGGATTCATTTGAAGTGGGTACCTGCTCCAAATGTACATAGACATGCTCAGAGAGGAACTGATCTGGGGTTCACTGGGGTGTGCATGCACATAGGAGTCTAAAAAAAAAAAAAAAAAGTTTGGTTTGGGGTCAACTCAAAACAAGTCTTTTTTTCAAAATTCAGTGACACAAAATGAACATCTGCAACCCAGTGTTTCAGATCTGAGCACTTTAAATATCTTGTACATTTACATCTTTTTAAGTGCACAACATTTTAAAACACAAAAGCTTGTCAAATAGAAATTGTTTGTTTCGTCCCCACTTTCTCTTGACATGAACATTTCAGCAAAACTGAGATGAACTCATGAAAGACTTTGGAGTGGCTGACTTGCATTTTTTTTTTTCTCCTTTCTTTAAACCAAAAAAAAAAAACAAGTTTCACCTGAAGAACATTGCTTGGATTTTCTTGTTCACTCACCGCCCCCCCCCCGCCAAAAGCTAGCTTATTAACACACAAGGTGCCATGGGTGATCTACTGTTGGCATCAAACTCTAATACCATGGCTCTTTAAGACATACTCATGCCTCCCTTAGCCCCAGTGGAGCCAGCAGAACCCTTTTAGCCCTTGCCAAACAGAACCAGCACCTGCAGAAAGCTTTGTTGAGTGTCCAGAGAGATGCTGCCAGCCCGTTTCTCTGGCATTTGCCAGTTTTGGTTATGTTGCAAAGAGTAAGGTTGTTCACGTGACACTTCTGGTTCACTGCAGAACCCATAAGCATAGGGATCATGGGGAAATGGAAAGGCAATTCGGAGGGGTGGGGAAAGAGAGAATCTGCTATATACCAACATAGTAGATAAAGGCCCACATTTTAACCTTTCATCTAAGTTGCTTTGAATTCAGAGAAAGAGGAAGGAAACAGGCAGGACCAGCCCCAGCCCCTGAGAGTGGGGCATCGAATGTGGAGGAGCACAGGCTCCAGTTTAGAGACCAGCAAAGTCCATGGGCACGACCGTCCCCATAGCACTCCCACTCTCCCCACCCAAGATCCAGATTCCAGTATCACAGGGCCCCACTCTACCCTCACTCTTTGGCCACAATTAACCGACATGGCTCAAAAGGTTTGTGGTGCTAAGTTTCCTACTGGCACCCAAATCCCGGTTGTACAAAACAGCTTTCCCCAAGTCAGTTTTATTTCTCCAGAGCATGATTAGCCTGGTTGCCAGAGGAGCTGGCTGTCTGCTGCCTCTTGAAACCAATATGAACCGTCAGCCCCCAGCACCATTGAAAAAAACCCACTAAAGCCATTACATGCGCGTAAAGGGAGTGGTTCCCTCAGAAGAGCTGCGTGGAAGCAGGATCAGAGTCCAGGGCACCCACAGGGTGATCCCTCCCCTGCCCCCACACCACTTCACCAGGCTGTGATGTTAACCCTGCCTAGCCCTGACACTGGAATATCTCTGCCCACTGCTTAGGCACGAGTGGGAGGGAGATAAGAAGCGGTGCCGGGGGAGCCCTCAGGGAAAAGCCGATCAAAAGCAGAAATAAATGCTTCTGATGAGCATAACCAGCTCTTCCTAAGAGATGCAGACTGTCTCTGACACCATGCATTCACGACTGAAGGCTTTGAAGCCAGCAAAGACATGAAAGCGAGGAATAAACCCAGCTCAGCAAGGAGCTTCCTCCGTTCGCTGTGCTTCTGTCCGCCCAGGGTAAGCCCTGATCTCTAAGCCAGCCCGTTGGCCCTCCACACCACACCGTAACAGAGGGCACCTTCCACCCACCCGAGACTCAGGAGGCAGTCGTTGTCTCACCATGTCTGCACGTTATAAACAGAAATGAATGCACACGGGGTCTGTAGGGGAAAGGAGAGAAGCCTATGTATATTTTATTAAAAGGGACTTTGACAGGTGTTTGAACAGCCTCAACATTTAGAAGGGGAAAAAAAAAAAAGGGGGTTGAAAAGAAAAATTCGGCACAAACCTTCATCCTCACGTTTCAGAGAGAACAGCGATTCTGTTGGGTGTAAATATCAACCATCCCAGTGCTGAAATCCAAATGCAAGAAGCAGCATATCAAACGGATGAGAATTTGAAGAAAAAGCAGCCAGCCTCGTTTGATGGAGCAAAGCAAGGTGGCATAAAAGTCACTGAGAGGACTTCATACTAGAAAGACTCTCAGCCCAGAAGACAAAACAAGCCCATCCATATTTCCCCATACAAAGCCCCAAAGGAGTGCCAAACTCTGCTTGGTTTCATCTACGTGAAGCACAAGCCTGGCCAAAAGAAGTGTACGTGCACAAATGCCTTCTTTACACTGGGATTTATGTTGATCTCAGCCCCAAAGCAGATCCACTACAGCACCGAGTGCAGACGGTCAGAGTGACCGCTTGCAATGGAGAAGCTCACCTGGGCTCAGCAATGGGGTCAATGGCATGGGTGTGAACTGGAGCATAACATGTCTACACTGTTGCAGCTACACCAAGGTTTACAATCCAGAGCAAATCAAGTCACACAGTTACACAGGGATGCGCACAACTCTTTATTCCTGCCTAGTTTAGCTGAAGAGCATACCACTGAGTTGCAGGACAGCCAATGAGCCCGCTAGGACACCCCACCCGATAACCATTGCCAGGACAGGAAAGAGAACATTATGATGCTCTGAATGTGTGCATCAAGCATCCAATCCAAGGTAAAAAGCTAGCAGTGTCCACACTATCCCAGAATAAAGCTGTGGAGGGGGAAAAACTACATTTCTCATAGAGAAGGTGTTCACCCTTTCTTCCATAGCTTTGCTTGACAGGGCCAGATCTGCTCCCTGCCCTTTGTTACATCAAAACACTGGGCTTTCCAATGGGTGTGCTCATGGCTTCAGGCCTCCCTCAGGGACTGAGGACAGATATAATATTTGGTTGTAACATGGAGGGAAGGAAGAGCTTCGTCGTCATTTCCCCTTCCCTCAGTCACTAAGGCATCAGGTTCCCAGGGGCTAAGCATGCATGGAAGAGGAGGGTTTGCCCTCTCCCAATGAGTCTTTGGTCTCAGCAGAGGGAGGGTGGCAATTCCAGCCTTTACCACCCTCTAGACCTGGAGGGCTGAGGAAAGTAGAGAGGGGGGCATTCCCCCTTCATCTCAAACCTACCACCCTGAAGCTTCCCAGTGAAGAACATGATATGGCAAGGGAAGATAAAAACATAACTAAGACTCACCTCTCTTTCCACATCCCTCTCTGCAGGATCCTCATTTGTTCCCAGACAGAGAACACAAGGTCTCAAGAGACAGCTGAGAGAATCCTCACTTTAGCCTGTTCAGAGCTGCTGATAAAAAAAAACACAACTATTGC